GAAATGGTTGGAACATATGGCTGCACCAGACTCTCAGGGTCATCATGCCCCTGATGGTCACTCGCATCCTGCAGTGTACCTCCGGATGCTATGACGGTTGTTAGATTAGTCGCTGTGCTGGACTCCACAGCGGATGTTTTTGCTTAGCTTGCCGTCTTGTCTCTGCGGTTTTCAGTCAAATTTCTGTTGGCAGCATATTACTGAACAGCCCAATTCTCCAGCAGGGTCTGAACCGTTAGCTGAGACTGTGATACCAACTTCAGCAACCTAGGACATCCATTACAATTCAGGCACGCGGGAATCTTCATCAGCTCAGTAGTAACGACATTTTCTGAAGAGTGTGCCTCACCAATCTATCTCCGTTTCTCTCGGTCATGTACCTGAGCTTCGCAATGGAAGCTTAGGATTCGGGGACACCGTGAACAATGCCGGTCTTATCATTGTTTTTGACTTCTCTTAGTTGTTCCTTCCGCGGGATGTCCGGTAGTATACGCAATCCGTTTGGTGCGTTGTGTAGTCGATTCACAGACGGCAGAGTGGCCTCCGTCTCATCCTCGGGATGTAGTGTTACACGGAATACTCGACGCTCATCATACTGCATTGAGTTTGAGTGACACACGATGCGTTCCAGGTTAGCAAGGACACCGATGGTATTGCAGATGGAGTCCCATTGATTACGATCGTCTATCCGATTACCGTTATCTTCTTGGATATAGATTCGGGAACGTTAGTGGACACAAGACCTAAGGCACCATGCTTATCCGCTTACGAGCCCTAGTTCTTGTTGCTTTCTATGAATTTCTGGGCGGCACTGGTAGTAGCAATCTATGCTGCGACTCTTCAATTTTGCCTAGTCCGGCAAGTGTTTTTCAGCGCTTTTATGGAATCGACCGCTGCGTATGATGTTCAGTTATTTTTTACTTTTGACCAGTTGAATCTTAAATCTCAAGTATGGCAAATGAATTACTGTGTGCGACACCCTTGGAGGAAAATGAAGGAGGCAAGTTTTATACCATTTGTCCACTTAGGAGACTGTATTGAGTTGGGACAGTTGAAGGCTGAGAATCTGCAATGAGGTTGTGGCGCCTGGCCCTCTTCTTTGGCCTGGATGGGAAATTTATAGGTGTTCCCTGAGCTGCAAGCATAACTTCGTTTACTTCCACAGGTGTGTCTTTGGCTTTCGCTAGTTGTTCAACTGCTTCTGTAAGTTTTTCACAATGTTACATTAGCCACGGGACGGATTTGCACACCTGGCAGAAGCGAAACGCCGCAATTTTCCTATTGTGTTTCTTGTTTTGAGTGGATCTAACCCTGTGCATTTAAAGTGAAATGCTTTTGAGCAACCAAAACCCGTAATCCTGTAATGACGACTTTAATACATAAGCCGCATTCGCAATTCGAGTGGACCATGTTCATTGATGACGTGCAATTTTGTTCTTTGCACTCTGTACGTCTTTGGCAGGGGCCTGTGTCCGCGCTCGCCATTGCTGGAGACATTCTGGAACAAGTGGATTGCTTCACTTATCTAGGGAGTCGCATCACGGCTGGTGGCAGTGTTGGAGATTAGGTTTCACAGCGCATTGCAAGGGCCTGCCTTGCTTTCAACAAACTGTGACGCCTATGGCGTCGTCTTGACGTCAGTCTCAAGCTCAATGGCAGGATGCGCGATACTTTCGTCCGTGCGGTCCTGCTGTATGGCTGTGAAACCTGGCCTGTTCGCTCCGAAGACATGAGACGAGGGGCAGTTTTTGATAACCGTTGTCTGCGAAGGACCGCTCGTGTGTGGTGGCAACATCACCTAAGCAACATGGAGATTAGTGAACGAATGCTTGGGGCGAACAGCCCGAGTCTTCAAAACGTTGTTCTCCGACACCGCATGCCTTGCCTCGGCCACGTACTGCGCATGCTAGCCTATCGCCTTCCTCGGCGAAACTTATTTACGCTTGTTGGAAGGGAATGAAAAATTGTCGCGGTGGACTACCAACGATGTGGAAAAGGCGCAAGAAGAATGCAGCCTCAACCTTAGCTACAGTGGGATCAGTGCGCCTCCTAAGTTGGGGACCACGTGACTCGCAATTCCTGTGGTTGCAAACGCTGGATCTGATGGTACGTGACAGACATAAGTGGTGCCAGTGTTATTGGGCCATTTTATCTGTTGATTAATCTCAAGTATATATCTGTATATCAAAAAACAAGAGAATCTCAACGGCGTGTGTGAACCCCAAAAAGAAGTTTTTTTCTTGTATCCTTTCTTACACTTATGCCATGTTTCTGCTGGCACATTGTCTGTATACAGGATTGCATATAAATGTATGTGTGGTTGGCAGCATCCTGTTTCGGATTTGCCTATCACCGTGGCAGCCAGAGAACGCCTGCGCCCACGGAAGGACCATGGGTGACTTGCGCTGCACCATCCACAGTTCCAAGCACACACCCCATATCCAGTGTAAACCGGAATGAATAAGACGTGGAGACATGTAGGTGGGAACCACGTTTCATCAACGGAGCCGGCCCACCATCCTTCACAGACAAACGCAAGCACGTCGTATTTGGAGAATCAAGCGCACACAAGGCGGTGGCTGGACCGTAGTCCGCTCCACCTTGAGTGCATGAAACCACCCTTCGAGCATAGCACGGCCACAAGGACCGTGCACCCCGTCCCCTCCAGCAACGGCCAGCTGTCTCATGGAGCCAGTATGGACGAGGTAGGGGGTAATAGACAGGTAGGCACCTTGTCAACATGCACATCCTGCGCAGCCACACCGGGGATATCAAACAACAGCCAATCAATTGGGACGACTATATCAAATAAAATAGATCGAATAATGCTTACAGATATGTGGACATAACTCTTCAGTAAATGAACATATGAAATAAATTGGTTGCCAACAAATCCGCCATAATTTTAGCAAGTATATTTTAAGATAATGCCATAAACGCGAAAATGTTATCGAAGTTAACTACAATTAGGCTAAGCGACGTGTGCAATTTAATGGAAGATAGTTTAGGTAGATATTTGTATGAACTAAAAAAGCACAAGGACAAAATAGCAAACCTGCCACCTGAAATAGAGACAGCATGCAAACACGCGGTTAGTAAGTCGAATGCAGCGTTCCTATCAAAGCTGTGCCTGTTCTGCCTACCTTCGCAGCAGAATTCGGCGTCGTTTCTGTGGTGGCCCCGAGTGGCCTCGCTCATGGCTCAGTAGGCCTGCCTGACTCAGGCACTCGCGACCACATGTGCTACAGCACCATGCGCTCAATGTCGATGAAGTACAACCCATCGTCGCCTGTCTCTTCTTCTCCTGCACTTTGGCAACTGCCTTCGTGATCAGATTGCGCCATGCACGCCGATCAACCGCCTTCGATTCCCATGTCCTGCAATCAAAATAAGAACGTGCTAGATTCACTTTGATCATGTCCTTGTAACTGAGCTTCGGTTTCCCCACATGCTGCTTCCCCAAACTCAGCTGACCGTATAATAGCTGCTTCGGTATTCACGTCGAATCCATATACCACACATGACCGAGCCACTTAAGGTGTCTCAGCAAAAGTATGCAGTCCACTGCATTCATTCCACTTTGTCGCAACATCTCCGTGTCTGCAACCCTGTCGCGCCAACCGATGCGCAAAATCCGTCGCAAACACTGCTGATGGAACCGCTCGAGATATCGCACATCCCGACGGTACATCGCCCACGTTTCGCTGTCGTATAGAAGAACGGACAGCACCATCGATTTGTACACCATCAGTTTCGGGCCAATGGTAAGCTGATGGTTGTTCCACACTCGGTACTCAAGCTTCCCGAATGCCGCTGCTGCCTTCGATACGCGGATACGAAGCTCATTGTGTAGCTGCTGATCCGTCGACATTACACGCCCAAGGTAGCAAAAGCGGGAGGTGGTTTCCAATACTTCAGCCCCAATGCTGATTCGCGGCAATATTGAAGATTGCACCTCCGGTGAATGCTGAAAGAGACAGACAGTTTTGCTTGTGTTGATGTTGAGCCCGAATTTGGCCGTTGTCGAGGCCAGAACACTAGTCATGTGCTGCAACTCATCTGCGCTGTGTGCAAACAACGCACAGTCATCAGCAAACAGCAACATACGGATAGTTATCTAACGGACTAGAGTTCTCGCACTGAAACGACGGATGTTCAACAACCCACCATCAATACGGTGTTATACACGAACACCGTAAGCACAAGACATCATTGTATGAAGGTAAATATTAAACAGGGCAGGAGCTAAGACACAGCCTTGCTTCACACTAGAGGCAACTGCAAAGTCATCCAAAGTCTCTACTCACTTGCGCCCTGGCCCCTATATATATATATATATATACATATATATATATATATATATATACACTCTGCGTGTGTATGTGTATGGACATTCTCAATGACTGGTACCCAATTTTGAAGCGAATGGTGTTCTTGCTTCCTGTCTCCTGTTCCTGTCGGTCCGTTTTTCTTCTAAAGGGGATAGCTTTTTCCCATTGCACCTTTTTTTGTGCTTTCCTTTTACATTCTGCACGCACAACCAGTGCTTCAGAGATCGAGCTATGAATCCTCTTGCAATAATGAAGTTTGCTGTGGTGCCGGTACTTACATGTCAGTTTCGAACCACAATGCTTGTTTTTATGCTCAATTTTCTCGCAGCGTGATTCCGAATTTCTCATGATTTCACGTTGTCCATCCCTAATATCGTGGAATCCGGATCCATTAGGACTGACAACAGCCTAGGAAATGTTCGGTAGTCACGATCTAATACTTGATGAATTCCATTATATGTTTTACATTCTAACAAAAATCCATGTCGCCTTAAAACAAGCGCTGTCCCAGTTTCTAGCTTTTATCTTGCTTTCGAACTTTTTTTAACCGAATCACCATATCCCATCGTTACTCTTTCTGCCATTAGTTCATGTTTTCCCCCAGCACAGCCTATGTTTATTTTACATTCCTCAGTTATTATTATCCTGTCTTTATAATCTGTTTACTAGGAAGTGGATTGGTTCTCCGGCCTACACTGCTTATTGAATTGGAATTCCAGATCAAAGTACGATTTGCTTCTCGAAACAGATTCGGTTATCCCAAGAGAGAACTCATAGATCCTTTTTTCCATGCCTTTTCCCGTAAACCCAACGTCATAATGTCGCTACTTCTCAACTGTCTTGATGCTGCAGATGATATTTTATGTGTCCACCTCTCCCATTCTTCTCTATTGGCTGTGGCTGTTTGCTCAGTTTCTATTCCAATTGTTCATTTGAATGTGCGGAATCTCTTGTTATCTTTTTTTTACTCTGTCCTAAATGTTATTGCTCACTTGAATATTTTCCTCGCTCCGTTGGTAATAATTCTTTTTTAATCACCAGCGCATTGTGACAAATTGTGGTTGATTTCTCTCTGATCTGGGATTGTGTTTGTCTGTTTTTCTTTGGAGCGCTTTCCCAAAATCTTTGGCTTGAAACTTTCACTGACAAGAACAAACTATGTAGGCATGTCTTGTTTCCTGGGTTCCATCGCGACGCGACTGGACCTTAACGTGCTGCGATGTCTTGCGTGCCTCAACGATCCATTGGGCTATGCCGGGTGGTGCTTTTACACCTTCATAGCCACTTATACCAGATTGGCCAATGGTTGGGGGCCCGACACACTCAGTCTTCTGTCTCTCTAGGTTGGGAGTTGGAGTGAATTTGGCTCCTTACTCCATAAAACGGACTCTCTGTAGTCCAGTATCAAAACCCCACTGCCTTGCAGCCAGGTTTTAGAACCCAAGGCTTTAGTCGAGAATCCAAATCTTGTCTTCTAGGGATGGGCAGTCTGACAGTATCCTACCCACGCAATACAACATTGTGTCTTCTTCAACCAATTTTTTGTTGCCCTGGCCGTCGTAAAGTATACTAAACGACGCCCTATCTGCCGCATCAAGGAGGATGGACACGGCTTTGGATTCTTCTTCTCAAGTCTTCTCCCATTTCTTGCTCTTTTCCATCCTTATCGTCCTGTTCCAACTTCACTTCTATCCCCCTGTTTTCAATCCCCCAGCTCTTTTCCCTTCCATATCTTGCTTCAGTTATCGTTTATCTTCTATTTTTAACTCACTTGCGATCGCAGGGCGTCGCTCTGGTCTAATCGACAAGCCCATATCCAGCCAAACGGCTATCAGCGGTTCATCCGTTTCTCTTTGATGTCCTCGATCATCCCCATGACTGGCATGCTCAATGTGCGCATTTTTTTGCAGATTGACGAACATGCAGTACTTACCCGAACACTGCAGACCCCATCAATCGATATCTGCTGCTTATCAGAAACTCGCCCGCAAGCTTCGAATTCTGTAGTTTTCCTGAAATCCCCAACCTGCGACACTGGCGATATTTTCTTATTGCGCTTGTCCAGAGATGAACCGGCTTCAAATGCCGGTCCAGTCCGATTGGATCCCAATGAACAGCCGGATGTGCGCTGTCAGATTGGCTGGCCAGTTCAAAGCATCGAAGTTGTGTGGGGACAAACTGTGCTTTTTTGTCATTACAGCCTATCCGCCCACAAATTGTAGCGCAGACTCGGTGAAAGGCGACTTCTATAACCAACTAAACGCACTTTTTCGTCATAGAAAATGTGAGCATACTGTGATGCTTGCTGGTGATTTGGGCTCCCAAGTTGGAAGACTTCACTGATGAGCTTCCTCTGGGTGGCCAACATGGTGTGTTCTCCCGTACTGATAACATTGTGCGAATGCTACACCTGTGTAATGATGCTCGTCTCTTGCGAACACTATCTTCCGATACAGCCCCTGTAAAAGGGTGACATAGCACTCACTAGCCTCGGGCCAGCCGTGGATGCAAATCGATCACATCGCGATCGGTTACCGCTACAGTGGTTGCGTCAAAAACTGTCTCTCGATTTGTAGCACGGGCGTGAACTCTGACCACCCACTAGTTTGCCTCGACCTGCGGGCGCGTTTTGGTGGACGCCCGCAACGGCGTTGTGGGTGCATAGATACTAGCCAGATGGCGAAGCCAGGTACTCTGGATGCTTATCAAAGCACGCTGGCATCTTATCTGAGAAAACGCTCACTGAGTAAATTTAGAATCACTGGTCGCATATCCGCCAGACGTTAGTAGCATCAGGCATCTTTGACATTGGGTCTCCACCGATTCTCTAAAACTTCTGGATGCTCGCCGACGTATTTCGACTGGAAACGTATACATTGAGACTCGCAAACTTCTTAGGGCGATACTACGTGCTAACCTGAGGAGAGGCCGCGAAGCGTGGTGGTCTAATTTTATCTCGGAGATGGAGACAGCTACTAGAAACGGGCAGTGGGAAACCTGGTGTTAACGAAACCATATGCGACGAAAGTAGACAGTCGATCCACAGCTTGTAAAACCGCTTGAATCGTTGGGCCGAACACTTAGAGAAGCAGTTTAATTAGTCAGTTGCCATCTTGTCCATCGGCCAATGAGCGCGTTACTCCCCGAGCATCCGCCCTCACGCTTGGAAATCGAACGTGAGATCAGACTTGTAATTGAATTAGGCCGCAGGGTCAGATAGCATCCTTACAGCCCTGTTCAGATTTGGTGGACATGCTCTTGTAGCTGATTTACGCGAGTTACTACTGAAATTGTTGGAGCAGGAAACTGTCCCAACAGATTGTAACCGCTCCGTTATAGTCCCAATTTTCAGTGGAGGCTCCCCTTCCGAATGAGGCAGTCATAGAGGAATCAGTCTGGTCTTCATTGCTTTTGAGTTGATTTCCTCTGTCATCCTCCATTGTCTGATTGGCACGCGAAAATGCTAGCTACACGAGGATCATGCCGGATTTCTACGAAATCCAGACTGCATTTACAACATCTTCATATTACATCAGTTGTTGGAGCACCACCGTGTTTACTGGGGACCCACCATAGTCGTGTTCCTAGGTATCAAACTTGCTTCCGATTCGATGGATGGATGTGCCCTTTGAGACTGTCTACTCACGATAAGTGTACCCGATAAATATAGCAACATTATCGGAGCGTTTTACGCGCATAGTTGCCTTAAAGTGAGGGTTTATGGCAAACTATCGCAACCCTTCACTATCTCCAGTGTTGTGAAACTAGGTTGCCCGCTGTCAACTTTCCTCCTCAACTTCACTATTGATGAAGTCATGGAAACGGCGTTCACTAGGCACGACTCACGACGTGTGGAGCTGCTCCCAGCTGATCGACTTATTGAATTGAAATACATCGACGGTATTGCTCTAATCTGTGACATTTTCCAAACGTGCCAAGTTTCTGCATAAATTATCTGTGGCTGTCAGTCGTTTCGGGCTATACTTTCCACTCTCTGAATGTAAAGTCTTTCTCCAAGGTTGGCGGAAGCCCGCCCTTGCGCTGACCCTTGCTGGTGATCAGGTAGAAGTTGCCCAGAAATTCAAGTATCTGAGCAGCTATATTGGCGCCTGTGTGATCGAAGGTGTGATCACGAACCATATAGCAAACGCTCGGGGTACTTTTGCCAATCTCCGCCACCTTTGACGTCGGCGTGACATTACCCTTGTACTGAAGAGCAAAATTTACAATGCAACCGCCGGTTGCGAAACATGGCCCATCAGGTCGACAGACATAGTGAGGTTACCTAAATTCGACCACCGCTACCTTCGCAGCTTAGCTCATGTCTGGTGGGAGCATCGCGTGAGCAGTGGTCGCGTATTTGGTGCAGCAAGAGCGAGGGAACCGCTCCGCACCATTATTTCACTTTCCACGTTCCGATGGCTGGGCCACGTGTTGCGCATGCCAGCACACCGATTCCCGCGACCTGCGTCGTCTGCGCAGCGGTGTGTGGATGAAGGGAGCGGATGCCAAGTTATAACTTGATCAAGAGGAATCAAGTCCTTAACTTCGAAGTTATCGTCGGTTGGTGTTTTTTTACTACCGGGGCAGGTCCGAAGGACGATGAACACGTCTGGTTAAATACTCTGGCTGACGTGGCGAGGAGTCGACCTCATTGGCGTTTGTGTTCTGAGTCTCTTCAGCTTCCCCCTCTAACAACAATCTCAAATGTGATATTTAGCATTGTGTTGCCTTTTTAGTCTTCATTGCTTATCCTCTTATCTTTTTTGTGTTGCGGTACTTTGGCTGAAGTGTGTTTCCCACCCTCGGCTAACGTTTATTGATAACGGTCATTATGACTCTCCCGGGTATCGACCTATGCGATGTAAACCCACATGCTGTCGAGGTTCTTCGACAGCTTGGCCCCAACATACTTTTGGTAGCTTGAATCACACGCATGATACAGGTTCGTTGTTCGCGACTGTGTCCGTACGTACTGTTTATTGCCTTGTGAAGTCCAACACTAGCTGCGGATTCTGGTCCACTTTGTGTGCGACTTCCTGATTTCGCCACATCTGACATGTTACCACTTATGTAAACAGGATGTGTTCAAGTCAAGGGTGTATTTTCAACAATGTACACTATCAACTACGAATTCATTAATTTGGTATAAAAATGCCGGATAAGCGGCTCGGCTTTCCGGAACAACAATCACGCCATATTGAAGAGAATCATCTGCGTTTGTATCCAATAGAAATAGTATAGTTTTATTAACTTTTTTCTCCATAGCCGGTTTCTATAGAGATAAGTTCTTGCTCGAATACAACAAGTCGGTAACAGTACGCAGTATCTCAGCAGTTGTATTCAAAAGATGAACAAAGTAGGATGGTTTCAGTGACCTTGGAAGTTGTTTGGACAAGGAATCTATCAGGCTATTCTTGCAAAACTAATCTATCCACAGTAGATAATGTAAAGGTGATATTCCACTGCCGATTTAAAGGCCCAGTCATCCCAATGCTCGTGCATCATCCAGGGGCGAGGTCTTATCTTGGTCCCCATATCACCAACAACCGCATTATAAAGGAAATAAGGATAACATGTAACACTGCGTTGTTTCGCATCGACGAGAAGAAGATGAAAGGAACCCATCGGAGATACACACCAGTCTCTGATTAGTTGCTCGGACCACGGATGGCTATCTGAAACATGAATTTCCATTTATAATTCCAACTAAGGATATCAGAAGATTGAAGTTATGGGATGACACTGTCGTTTCGTGCATTCTCATCGACTAAGTACATGCGAATAACAAAGTGGACAACGTCATCAAATCAACCACTTTATACAAACGCTATGTTTTTGATATACTATTAGTCTTGGTTTCGGATGGAACACATTACACTTGTAATCAAACAGTTCAGTAGTGTACACCGGAATCCTACTGTGACATGCGAAGCTAAGCACGACAATTGTCTCCCATACTTAGATGGTTCAATCCAAAGATCAGTCTACCAGAAAGCAACTTGGACTCTTTAGTACCTACATTTTAAGGGTTTCTCGCCCATACATCACAAGTGC